CAAAAAGGCGGGGCATAGAGGAGAAACAATAATGTACAGTATGTGGTAAATAATGTGTTTTTTTTTTTACTTTAAACAGCATAAACACATTTCATTACACCAAATACACAAAATAAGCAACACTTTTTAGCAACATCATATGACCCCTTTAAAATAACAAGGAATTATATATTTTTATGATTTGTAGATTGTAGATTTAAAAATTAAAATCATATTATGCTTTAGAATGTAGCGAAATAAAAGTGAACGCTTCACAAAATAAAAAAATTATTTGGTAAGTAGGCCTACACATAATGGACTTAAGCTAACGAAGTAAAAAATTTACTGATTTCCGTTTATATGCATTATTTAAGTCACACCTATAAATTGTTATGTGAACAAAACAATTCAAAATTCAAAGTATCTTTTAGTAAATACAGTCCCAAACACTGTTAAGCATTAGAGACGTAGAGGAATAGGCTATTTCACCCAAAAATGAAAATTCTTTCTTTATCTAATCACCCTTATGTTGTTCCAAATTTGCATGATTTTCTTTATTCTGTGAAACATAAAAGAAGATATATAAAAAAAATTTGTTTTGGGGGGGGGGGGTCTGTTTCTTCTATACAATGAAAGTCAATAGGGCCCAAAGTTTAAGAAAATAATCCATAATCCATAGGATCGAGTTATTATTATTATTATTATTATTATTCAATTTATTCAATACTTTTGACTAAAGAACAGTAAGAAACCATTTAGCAACTACTTACAACAACTTCTGCACAGTCAAAATGAAAGTCAATAGGGCCCAAAGTTTAAGAAAATAATCCATATAAGTTTGGATCGAGTTATTATTATTATTATTATTATTATTCAATTTATTCAATACTTTTGACTAAAGAACAGTAAGAAACCATTTAGCAACTACTTACAACAACTTCTGCACAGTCAAGTGCCACCCACATTATCTTCAGAAAATGCAAACATCTATTTTTAACATACTGTACATTGTTGCAAACAATTTGCTATCGATGCTTTTAATTAATAAGTGAGAGCTAGAGAGGGCTTGTAGAGTGTGAATGTATGTTTAGTGTTTGTGTGTGTATGTGTGGGTGTGGCTGTGGCTGTGAGTGCATTACAGTCGTGTCTGTGTGTGTGTGTGTGTGTGTGTGAGGGGGTTGAGATTGTGTATATGAGTGTGTTTGTAAGCATGTGTGTATGTATGTGTTGTCAAGTGGGTGTAGGTCATGTGTGTGTGTGTTGTGGTGTGTGGGGGGAGAACAGGTTAGTGGGTTACATTCATGTGTGTGAGTGTGTATGTGTGTGAGTGGGTTGCTCTGTTAATGCAGCTCTATTGGCAGTCCTCCAGAATACTGGAGTCTGTGTGGTGATCCGTTCTGCTGTGTGAAATATCGATCACACCAGCAGCCAGAGGCTATTCAGACACATAATTTAGACATACAGAAATACAGCCACAGAGTCCATTAGCAAGATACAGTTTTATAATAATATACCGCAGTAGTCATTTTGCATTTGCAAAGCAAACAAACAAGAACTATGGTGATACTAAGAAGAACTATTGCGGTACTATGGTTGGCTGGACATTTATCACGGAAATATCATGTTTTTGAATGTGTACTAATACTATGTTTGTTTGTTTGTATGTATCATGATAATACTTTAGTTGTTGGGGCATGTGCCCTGGTAATACCATGTTTTTGATCACATACCTTGGTTGTTTTGACATTTGCCATGGTAAAATACTTTATAAATGTATAGTTGCAGTATAAATTTCATAATAATGGATTTTTCTACCAGTTCAAGCTTGAATTATCACCAGTAAAGTTTTGCCAATTCTTTTTGTGATTACAGGCAATGTCTCTAAAAGATCTTCTTTTGATGGGCTTTGGCAAATATATATTTAAATAAATGCTGTTCTTTTGCACTTTATGTTGACAAAAGAATCCTGAAAAAAGTATTATGGTTTTTATAGAAAAAAAAGTAAGCAGCACAACTGTTTTGAATATTAATAATAAGAAGAAATCTTTCTTGGGCTCAAAATCAGCATATTAGAATTGTTTCTGAAGGATAATGTGACAATGAACACTGGGGCAATGGCTGCTGAAAATGCAGCTTTGCCATCACAGGAATAAAATACATTTTAAAAATACAGCACACTTTTGAATGGTATTCCATATGTGATTAATTATGATTTATTGAATGATTAAATCAACATATGTTATAATTTGATTAAAAGTCAATTGAAAGATATAATTATATGCAAAGAGAGACACAGTGACCGTATTCACAAAATAAACAAATGCATTTTATCTGATGAATAATGAACGGCTGAAGGATAGTGGTACTGATAGATGTGAGGCAGAAATGAAAGTGTCAATTAGTTCATTAGTGGGTAACTGTGTCACTGCATGATGGGGGTTCATGACACCACTGATAACCTCTCTCATAACCTCTAATGTTTTCGTGTGAGAGAGAGACAGGCAGAGAAGAACCTCTCGATTTGCATTACACACAACTAGCTCACTTTGATACATTTTTTAATAGGTCTCTGCATGAGAAACTGACCGATTCTCCCCTCAATTCTCGTCCTTTCCAATTAATCCTCTTTTTATTTTTGGAGCGTTTCTCATCTCATCTCTCTGTCTCTCGCTCTTCATATTCCCTCTCGAGAGTGTGCAGCCCACGTTCACTTTTCTAACTCATAGAGTCTGTGCGTCCCACACGTGGAGAGAAAGATTGAGATGAAGGAGAGATGAGCGCAGCGTGTGGTACGTCCCATGTGATGCATGGAACGCCAGACAACAAGATTCCTTTTTCAAATCTGCAGGATGAATCTTTTGTATCTTCACAGGAGCTTGTATGCATTACAGATTAAAAACTGAGCAAAGAAACACCACTTACCCTGAATATATGTTAAAATATGCAGGAATGTGGTTTGGTGTGGTGTGGTGGTTTTGCATTTATTTGATAGAGTTTGAGATACATAAGGCGCATTTTCTTGTCCCCTTTGACTTCCATAGTATTTTTTTCCATACTATGGAAGTCAGCGGCTACCAACAACAGTTTGCAGCAACCAACCAGCATCCAACATTATTCAAAATAACTTCTTTAATGTTCATTGGAAGAATAAAACTCATACAGCTTTTGAACAAGGGTGAGTAAATGATGACAGAATTTTCATTTTTGGGTGAACTATCCCTTTAAGTCAACACAGTGCAGAAAGCTGTTTGTGTATGATTCACTATAAAGGATTGAAATACAATATACTGGTCCCATCTCATTGACCCTCACTGAGCAGAGCCTTACTGAAGGATCATCAGGATCAGTGACTTGAACTCTCATTCATGAATGAATCATTCAATCTGATTCGTGAACAGTTCAAACTATTTAAAGAATCGTATTTGTTCATTGATTCCGTTCTTGAGTTCAACTCTCTGATTCACTGACTCACAGATGTTCTAAGAGTTAACAGCTGAAGGGGAAGATTATCAGTAAACAAATGGATTTTTCATGAAAAATTCTCTTTTTTGTCCCACAGTAAAATAACAGGTTTGGATCAACATGAAAATGAGTAAATAATGCCAAAATGTTCATTTTTGAGTGAACTATTTGTTTAATTTTAGTTGTATTAGTATAAATCTTTTGCTTCCTTTTGCAGTGGCTGTTAAATAAAGAGAGAAGCTCCCACACACACACACATATACAAATACAGACATACAAACACGCCACCCCCATCCCAGTCAGTCTGACGCCCACGTGGCCCCCCTGCTGCGTCTTCCTTCTGTGAGCTCGGCTCTTGGTTTCTGAAGCCAGTGGGAGGCTCTTTCATCTCCATCTCACCAGCGGGCACCGCAGTGCCAGCCTGGCATAATCGGCCTGGCGCTGACATTTTAGCATCTCTTTTTCTGTTATTCCTCTCCACCTGATGTCTCTCTGTCTCGCTCCATCTCACTCACTAAAAAGCTGGGTCACCAACCCTTCAGCAGGAAAACCAATAGAACCCTGCTAATTCAATCAGAGCTAGACATGTTAAGATGAGAGAGACGAGAGGTTCAAATCTGACCTGTGTCTGTCTGTCTATCTATCTATCTATCTATCTTTACTGTAAATTCAAGTAAATGTAAGTTCAAACCATAA